TATGTATATATATGTATATTATTTTATTTATTTTTTTAAGCGTTTCTGGGTTTTTAAATGTTAAAAATCATTATATTATATAAAAAATTATATTATAAAATTATATATTGCATAAAAATTATTAAAATTTTTTCTGCCAAAAATAAATTCCAAAACTTGCACTCCCTGATAAATTTTTTCGATAGTGAAACTTGATAGTTTGTACAATTGAACCGTATTATTTATTGAACCGCAGCTTTCTTAACTTCTCTTGCATTACATTATGTTTCGTTTTCTAAACGTTTTTTTAAATTTTTTTTTTTACTGAACCATATTTTTCTTACGTTCTTTTTGTTACTTCTCTTGCATTACATAATGTTTCGTTTTCTAAACGTTTTTGAAATTTTTTTTACTGAACCATATTTTTCTTGCGTTCTTTTTGTTACTTCTCTTGCATTACATAATGTTTCGTTTTCTAAACGTTTTCGAAATTTCTTTTTACTGAACCATATTTTTCTTACGCTCTTTTTGTTACTTCTCTCTCATCATTACATTATGTTTCGTTTTCTAAACGTTTTCGAAATTTTTTTTTACTGAACCATATTTTTCTTACGTTCTTTTTGTTTCCTTTATACATTCACATCACTTTTTGTTCTGAATGATATTTAATTATTTATGCATTCCTAAATTAATCTTTATATTTAACAATGTACAACTCTTAGATAAATTATTTCAATGTTGAAATTTAATATGGTACGAATTTAAACCACAGTTCTTTATTAAACAATTAATACCATACCTTCTTTTTTGAAATATATTATATATTCATATTTTTTTTTCTTCTAAATGTTCATAAATACTTAAATTAATAATAAAAATAACTAAAATTTACACGATCAGAGAAACCGGTGTAATGCTAGACATTAATAGGTTTCGAATTAAAGTAACAGGGTTTCACTTAAAATTCGTAATATTTCGTGAAATTGAACCGTAGCCCTGAATTGAAGCACAGTTTGCAAAACTTATCTTCGCAGTACATTATGCATTCACGCCATCTTTTTTTCCCCACTCAATGATTTTGCAACTTTTTTAAATTCTCAATTTGGAAAGTAATAACTATAAAACATTCTCAAATTGGTACTACCTCAAACTTTACTATGGTAGAAATTGAAATAACAAAGTGTTAGTTTGCTTTAATTTGTTCAATTTATGTTCAATTTAGTTTAAGTTGAAAAAAAGCATTGCACAATCAGCTTTAAGAAGTATTAATTTGCACTGTGATATAATTAAATTTGACACCGTCTTAATGTTGCAACAAGTTTGCACTATATTATGAATTAATATGCTAACATTTTTAACTGGGTACTTACAGTGAAAATGCATATAATTTATTTATTTTAATTACAAACCCTTTATTTTGCAAGTAAATATACGTTCCCTTTTTTCACGCTTTAAAATTTTGAAGAAATTTTTTTTTTAAATATATGAAATATATGAAAAAGTGCTCAATTCAATTTTTAGAGAATTTTCTCATAATATGGGAAAATACAATTTTTATATTTAAAAAATTTAGTTAATTAGCAAGATAGAGGATTTGTAGATACACTTTCACTTTATTACACAATTTTAGAAATTATTTAAATGTTATAGTAGCTCATAGAATTTATTTCTTTTTTTCTTTTCTTTTACTAGGTACATCTATCAGAAAGGAATCACACTAGAAATTATCAGAATTTGATTGGAAGATATGTTGGATTCAAATTAAAAACAATAGATTTCGACTTATGGATTTTTGCACCTTATAAACTAATGGATTTTAATTTTATACTGATAAAAATAAGAAAGAAAAATGTGTAAACAAAGACTTTTCAAGTAAAATTGAGAAAAATGGTTGATAGGATCTACTAACTAGATTTAAGATAAAACTATGAAATTGTGTACTGTGAAAAATATTCATTCTTTCCTGAATGAAAGGCTCTTAGTAAATTAATGCACAAAAAATAACTTTTCAGAAAATATTTCATAATCTAACAATTCTTTATTAAGAAATTATAGCAGATGTTATTTAATTCTTAAATGTGTTTTTTAAAGTTAATTTTTAGTGGGGATTTTTTATTTATTTTAATTCATTCATTTACGCTAATTAATTAATTCTTATTAATTAGTTAATTTATATATCTTAAGTAGTTAATTAATGAATTCATCCTAATGAATTAATTCATTCATTCATATTAATTAATTTTAAATAATTAGATAATTTATTTATTTTCAATAATTAATTAATTAATTTTTATTAAGTGAACAATCTATTTCATATTTTCTTGAAGCAAATGCGTAATCAACCTTTTTTCTTTGTCTTTCTTTTACAAACTGTCTCAAACAAATGTAGTCTTATATTTTTATCAATGATGATTTTTATCAATTTTTATGAGAATGATATTTATAAATTGTTGATATAAAACAATGCCTCATATGAGACAGTTTATGAATAATTTTTCAAGATTTTGGATCTGTAATATTCTTATTTAGTTTTTAACTTCTTTTTGCTTCATACGCGAGTCATTTTTTTATTTATCCTATTAATTGTAATCAATAATCTAATATGTTATCGTTTAAAATTACATAATATTTTTGACTTTTTTAAATTTTTACATTATTTCATAAGAAATATAACATAAAAAGCAGTGATTTCTTTTATAATTTTGTATTATTTAATGGTTTTTGAAGTTCAAAAAATAAAGATTGTTGATGACTTATCATTCACTCTCATAGAAATTGTTGTGAATAATAATATTGGAACTAAAACAACTTGTAAATTTGCTGCAACCACAATAAAGTGTTCAATTTTACGAAGTTTTCCTAAATGTACCTTTAGCATTATGTAATAAAATCTAACAAGGATTAATTTGCACGATATTATGGATTAACTTAGCACCATATTAAGATTGCACCATATTTGGAAGATATTTCGTTTGAATGTGACTTAAAATTATTAATAGCGTAGGGAAAATGTAGCATTTGTATTGATTTATTTGTTTTCCTGTTTATTGATGAAAATATATTGTAATCGTCAATGTGAATAATATTACATAAATTTGTAAAAACTTGACATAATAGGAAAAAATATATTGTGTTGTAAATTTGAGATAGTTATGTCACAAGGAGAAAAATATATTACATCTTAGTTATCACCGAATTTACTATCATTATACTTTATTTATTGTCTTTGAATTGTTAAAATCTTAACTTTACATTAGACTGATTAACATTAGGATAGATTTATTAATTTGTATAAATCAAAAAACTGTTAAAAATTATCGTCCTGAAAAATGTATAGCCCTTTTATCAAAGCTACCATCCATACTGTGTATTATAAATAAAATAAAAAAAGAAAATGTAAAATGAAATACTTTATTTAGAGTGGAATATTATTTGTAAATTAATTTACTACAGTATTTTATACAGTTATTATAATAATTCTCATTTTAAGTGTTTATTTCATTAAAAAATTTGCTACTTGTAAGCAAAATATGTAGATAAGTATTTGAAATATTACGTAGATAAATATTTTTTAAAGTTGGCATTATTTGATAGCTGTAAATGTTTGTCATCTGCCTCTATTTATCATTTTTTTTTCTTTTAATCTAAATTACTGCCTACTCTTTTTATTAATGATTTTTAAGAATGTATAAACTTAGTAAAAATTTTATATTTGTGTGTGGTATAGCCTAATGAGAACATAAAGAGCTATTTAAACCTATGTAACGATAATTGAATGTCTAAAGAAATGTTACAGGCAAAAATAATGTTCAAGGAAATATCTACTTTATCATTATTGATGAAAAGGGGGACATCTAAACAGGGTAATTCAAAATGAATTCACTTCGAATCAGTAAACTAAACTATTTAAAGATTTTTTTTTCTTCAAAGAGATCTTTTTAAAATTTCGTGAAGTTTTCTTTTCTTTCTTTCTTCATGCAGTGCTTCTTTCTGGTTTCCTGATTGTGAGGATTACTTGTTGATACGGAAAATCAGACGGAAAGTCGTGATGGCTCAAAAAATAGAGCGTTAGCTTTCCAATGAGGCGAACCGGGTTCGAATCCCAGTCGATACGAATTCCGCATCCGGCATGCACCGAACACAGTGCTGATGTGAAATATCGTCAGTGGTAGACTGATCATGGGTTACAGTCCCCTTGCCGTCATGCTAACAGAGGGAGGTTCTCGTGATTTTCCTCTCCATGTAACGCAAATGCCCTTAACTCCATCAAAAAGTCCTCCATGAAGGCACATTTCTTCCAATACTCGATCCAGGAGTTCCCTTGCCTTCTGGATTGGGTTCAAAATTACAAGGCAACGGAGTTGAACATTAGTAGTCGTGAACCCATAAAATTGGGCCGGCTGTTCAACGATGGTTATAAAAAAATCAAAGAGAGAAGGAAAAAAAAAACATTTGTACAGAGTACACAAAAGTAAACGATAGTATCAGCTGTTAGTACTTTGATTTTAGCACATAAATAATTCAACTTATTCTTCTAACAAAAATGGTACAAAAGAGAAAAACTTTAAAAAAAAATAAATAAATAAAGGAATGGTATTACAATTTATTTTACCTCGCTGCTGGACAGGAAAAAAACATGTGATTCCGACGACGCGAACATGTGATGCGAGCAACATGTGATACCATGTTGCTAATATTCTACATTCAAAATTGCATGCTTGGGAGATGATCCGAATTGGAGACAAAATTGTTTTGCGACTCAGTTAACCTAACGAATTAAAATTTACAAATGCGTGATGCCTTTTTTTTGCCTTGATCATCAGAAGTGGCAAAATTAGTGATGACCACTGTAACGTTATTGATTGTATTGATAGTCTATTGGTGGTATTTTTTAAGACAAATATTTTAAGTCAGAATAACTTCCCTTGCCCTAACTTATTTTCAACTACAAGAAATATGCGAATTAGTAATAATACGTTATGCTCGTTAGGCTCTATTAAAATGTACATATGTCGTTGTTAGCTTGCAGGATGAATTTTCAAGAAATGATTAAAAAAAGAAATGTACCTTAAATAAGATTTTCGGAAAAAATTGGAACCATCGAGTTATTCGTTTCAAGGAAAGTAAATAATGCTGGCAATAGTAAACCTTTCCATGCCGTTGCTCCCTGAGCTGCTGTAAAAATTTTCCATTAAAATTTCCATTTTTCTAAAGAGCTGCAAAAAAGCATTTGTTATAATGACAAAATAGGATTTACTAAAAACAAGTGCAGTGCTTTTTGCTAAAAGGAAATTCAAGAAGAAAAATTAAAGACTTTTACGGAATTATGAGTTTTAATTACGAGAATAAAAAAAAAAAAACTTTTGGTAGTCGAGCTCCCCACAGTTGAAATGTGAATTTTGATTTTTAATTTGATTGATAAAATTTTAGTCTTCGTATTACACCAAACTGGTTATGTTTCAGTAAACTACTATTGTGCAACAAGTAGTTCCAGTTAGTACAAAAAGGTGTGTCCCAGATATAAGGGAAATTAACTAGTGACAAAGCAACTAAAAATTAAAAACAAACAGAAAAGTTGCTGAAAAAATCATTTTTACTAAGTGCCAGCTTTTTTTAGAATATTCTTAGTATGATTTTATCAGATCTTGAACTTTTAAAGAGTTCCAAAAATAATACATAATTTGAAAATATATTAAAGTTGTAACATCATAAACCACTAATAATGAAGTGGTTGAAATTTGTCCCAACCTAACGTTAAATATGGTGGCTCCCAAATTGCCAATCCATCTGTTATAAGGGTATAAGACATTTCATTTCTTTAAAAAAATTCGCCAATTAGATATCGCCAAGATTGAAGATGTTCACACTGCCCTCGGGTAACATTGGCGATTGAGGGGCGGGGTCAGGGCCACGTGTCTGAAGACAGGAATTCCGTCACAATGCGCAATACGCTGTGACAGGTAGTTCCTGATAATCGCACAATCCACGTTCTACAGCGATTTACAAGCATAACCCGGATCCAAAAAGAACTTTTTTTTTCTTCTTCTTTCTTTTCTTTCTCTTCTTTTATAATTCTGTTTTCCTTTCTCTTTCTCATACACTCCCAGGGCATGGGGTGTGGGGGAAGGCAATCTACCTNTGGGGGGGGGGAGAAATCATAGCGCATAAAGTTTTTTTATTGGTTGGAAAAATGAAATTGTTTTTTGATGGACAAATGAAGGCTATAAATTGCTTTTGTCTTAGCAGGTGAGCAGTTAAAGACATAAAGTGTATCTAGTATTTGATTAGATTTCTTTCATTGAGGAGGACATTAATTACCTTTTCAAGTACCATTGTCTTTACACATTCTCTCCTTTTCTCGAAGTCTTCGCCCATTTTATTTCGTCTTTAACATTTTATTCTCTAGCGTTTTTCTTTTAAATTAGGTCTGTTAAATTGGACTGTAATAGCACTCCTCGATCATTAAAAAATTATGGCGCTAAATCCTTCGTTACCTTTGAAGAAAAAATTTTAAATCACTGGCTTGCGACAGGTAAGTATAATTCTGGTAGTTTTGGACTTCCCTTCCCTTATCAGTAAAAATAAGCAAATCACAAACTACCTCCCATGCTTATGTAAAAAAGTTGCCACACTCCTCTCTGGTTTTGACTAACTTTGACTTTTAGTGTAGTAATCTAAAATCACGACTTAAATACCGTGAAACCTCTCAGGAACAACCACTCTCTGTTTCACTTTAAAATGGTCGTTAATGAAGGTTGGTCGTTCTTAGGGGTTATCTCCATTGACTTCAAAATGCTATCGAAGGTACATGATTTTTCGCAAGCTATTTTAATTTTACTCAGTGTCATTTTCTTGGTGCGGAAAAAACACTTGTGTTACGTCATGATCGATGAATAAAATTTAGCGGCAATAAAAAAGAACCGCTACTGATAATATTACCTGCAAAAACAAATTTACCAATTATGAATTATAGAACTATTTTAAA